CTGGGGAGATGGCTCAGTGGGCAGCTTGCTGTGCAAGCACGAAGACCTGAATTTGGCTCTCCAAATATTTCATATAAGAGGTAGGTGTGACAAAGCACACCTGTAACCCCAGAGATGGAGGTCTGAAGACAGGCAGATTATGGGGGCTCACTGGCCAGTCAGTCTAGTCAAAAAAGTGAGCTTCAGGCTCAGTGAAGAGACCCTGTTTCAAAAAACAAAATGGACAGAGATAGGGGAAGATACCCATTGTCCATCTCTGACCTGCACATGTGCACACACTGGTTAGTACATACACACACACACACACACACACGGAAAGAAAGAAAGAAAGAAAGAAAGAAAGAAAGAAAGAAAGAAAGAAAGAGAGAGAGAGAAAGGGAGAAAAAGGAAGGAAGGAAGGAAGGAAGGAAGGAAGGAAGGAAGGAAGGAAGGAAGGAAGGAAAGAAAGAATTTTAGGAGGATATTTGAATAAGAAAATGGACTCTTTGGCTAAGGTTCAAAACACAAATTTAAATGTTAGCGAGCCTAGAGGGAAGAAGGCTAGGGAGACCACCCAGCAAAATGCACACTTTGACATGAAAGGAATCACTCTGAGCTTATTGAGCAGAGTAACAGAATCCCATAGCAAGTCTTGAAAGAGTTCTGCTGCTGTGTGACAGGGAGATGGGAAGTCAAGAGCAGGGGCCAGTGGCTAGCCTGGCTGTGGCCAGTCAAGGGCATCTGGGATTTTTGGGTTCTGTTATCTATTTTTAGTTTTCAGTTTTGTTCTGTTTTATTTCACTCTATCGTTCTATGGGTGGGCTATCTAGACATCATCAGGACTGTTGGCCTACACAGTCCTTGTACCTCCTATGCTAATAGGTTGTTAAATCTGTAATGGCCCCCAAACCAGATAGCCAATCTTCACTTGATCATTCATTTATGTATGCATACATCTATTCACCAAATAGTAACAGGTTCCAGAACCATTTGGAAATAAGTAAAACATAGCCATTGCTTTTAAAAGGTTTCTGGACTTCTGGGATAAACAGATTAAAAAAAAACTCTTACACTTGACAGACTCCACAAGTACCACAAGAGTAGAATGAACAAAATTCTGTGCCAGGGGTTGAGAACAGAGCAAATCAGGCTGCATTTGGCTAGCAAATGTTTTGTTTGGCCCACATAGTGTTTTACTTTGTTTTTTCCAATTAGGTGCCAACATTTAAAAATTAGGACATTTCACATTTAAAAAGCAGATTCCTAGCTTCTGGTAAAAATAGGAAGATCTGAACACACCAGGCCAAATTCCTACGTAGTGGTAATTGGCAGGAGCAGAGCAGCAGCTGCCCCTTTTAAGCAGATCGTAAGTGCTCCAGTTGCCAGTGCTTGCCACTGCCTATTGCTCTCTGACATCAAAGCCAAATACTTGGTTACCAGTTATCATCAGTTTGTACTGTGGGTGCTTTTATAAAAGTGAAGAGAGAAATAAAAAACTATGCTTGTGCCAGGCATGGTGGTGCATGCCTTTAATGCCAACACTCAAGAGGCAGAGGCAGGTGGATCTCTGAGTTCCAGGTCTGCTGGGGCTATAGAGAGACCCTGTGTTTAAAAAAAAAAAAAAAAAAAAAAAAAGCCGGCATGGTGGCGCACGCCTGTAGTCCCAAAACTTGGGAGGCAGAGGCAGGCGGATCTCCGTGAATTCAAGACCAGCCTGGTCTACACAGTGAGTTCCAGGACAGCTGGGGCTACAGGGAGACCCTGCTTCAAAAAGACAAAAAAACAAAAAAACCCAAAACAACTCTGCTTGCAATTCTAACACTTGGGAGGTTGAGGCAGACATGAGCTATATAAGACAGTCTCAAAACAAGCAAAACCAAAAATACTTATTTTTAATTTTTAAAAATATTTTATTATTGTTTTGTGTGTATGAGTGTATTGCCTACATGTATGTAAGTGCACCTATATCATGTAATGCCCATGAAGGTCAAAAGAGGGTGTTGGATCCCCTGGAACTGGAGCTACAGATGGTTGTTAGCCACCATGTGGGTACTGGGATTTGAACCCGGGTCCTCTGCAAGAGCAGTTAGTGCTCTTAACCCTGTGAACCATCTCTCCAGCCCCTATTTTAATTTTTAAAACATTTGTTTATGGGGGGGGGGCTGTGTGTGCCACAGAGAACATGCGGAGGTCAGAGGACAACTAGTGAGAGTTGGTTCTCTCTTTCCACCACGTGAGCTCCAGGGGTCATTAGGCTTGGCAGCAAACACCTTCACCTGCTGAGCCATCTCAATGTCATCCCCCCCTTATTTTTTTTTTTATTACTTGAATTTATTAAAAGAAGAAATGAAAGACACTGGCAAGTATGGTGTAGGAGAATCTTCCTAGAATAACAGACAATTCCTTATATTTAAGATACAAAGAAGTAATTCCCACTTATGTTACCTGCCTGATTCAAATTAACATAGAGGCTGAGAGTGAAGGGGAACTCAAGCTTAAAAGTTGGCTCCACCACATACTATGTGGCCTGGATAATTATCTACCCTCTGTGTGCTTCAGTCTGTAAAATAGAGATAATTATAGTAGCAACCAGAAAGTTCCTGTAAGGACATGAGGCAAAGTTCTCAGCCAGTGTCTGGCACAAGTCAGCACTGGCTATAATTTATGCAGAGCACAAAGGACAGCAAACATCTCCAAGTGAGCCTTGAGGGATGTTTACGATTTAAGTTTTAACAGGGAAAAGCCCAGGAAAGAGAGAATGGCACAAAGCTGAAAAGATCATCTACGAAGATTCTGAGTCAGGCTGAGAACCATTCAGTAAATCAGAATTTCCCTAAATGTGCCCCTGCCTGATGAATTTTGATGATAAAATAGAGTATGATGTTAAATAACATTGAATTATTAAGATGTCAAAGTCATTCTCTTTCCATTTTTTCTTTTTTTATTATTTTTGTGTTACAGTCTGTGGGTATGGTGGTGGGGGCGGGCAGCCACATATGCTATGGCACACCTGTGGAAGTCAGAGGAAAACATTCTGGTATTGGTTCTCTTCCTCTACCCTTATGTGGGTTCTGCAGATCAAACTCAGGTTGCATCATGGGGCAGCATTATCTTTATCTGCTGAACCATCCCTCAGTCTAGTTTCTTCTGTTTTATGAGACAGGGTCTTATGCAACCCATATTAGCCTTGAACTCCTGATCCATAGCTGAGGATGACCTTGAACTCCTGATCTTCCTGATTCTACATCCAGGAGTGCTGGGATTATAGGCATGAACCTTGGTTTTCTTTGCATTCTTTTTCAAGCTTTTAAAAAAGATTTATTTACTTATTTATTTGAGTATGTGCCTGCATGTGTGTGTATGTGTGGACAATGTGCATGCAGGCTCCTGTGGAAGTCGGAAGATAGTGATGGATCCTCTAGAAATGGAGTTTACAGATGATTATGAGCCACCTGATGTGGGTGCTGGGAACTGAACCATGGTCTTCTGCAAAAAAAAGCAGTAAGTTCAGGGACTGCAGAGATGAGCTGGGCGTATAAGAGCACTTGCTCTTGCAGTGGATCAGGGTTCAGTTCCCAGCACCAACATGCTGGCTAACAACCTTCTGTAATTCCATTTCCAGGGGATCTGATGCCTTCTTCTGGCTTCTGCAGGCACTGCACACACATGGTACACTTACATACATGCAGGCAAAATATTCATATACGTTTTTAAAAAATATTTTAAAGAGCAGTAAGTGTTCTTTTACTACTCTCCAGCCCCCTCAAACTCTTTTTGTCTATGTGTGTGCATGTGTATGTATATATGTACATGTATGGCATGTGTATCTTTTTATTTGCCTCTGTATATGAGTGTGGTGTGTGCATGTGTATATAAATGTATATATATGTGTGTGTGTGGTCTGTATAGAGACCAGAGGAGGGCCCTGGGTACCCTCCTCTATTAATCTGGGGCCTTGTTCCTTTGAGGGAGGGTCTCTCCCCTCCCTCTTTTTTCCTAAGCTGGTGGCAAGCCAGCAAGCCCATCCATCCTCCTGCTTCTGCCCCTCTTCTGTGATGGCACTACAGGCTTGCACTGGCCCACTGGACTTTTATGTATGCTGAGCTCAGAACTCTAGTCCACATTCTTGCAGGAAGTACTGGCTCTTAACTGCTGAGCCATCTCTCCAGTCCCCCCTTTTCAAACTTTCTAATCAAGACAATGTCTTGATTTGATGCTCATCTTCCTCATCTTGCTGATCTTCCTTGGGAACGTTCAACTTGAGACCAGGGGCGGAAAGGAAAGCCTCCCTTCTGACAGTACAGCTTACTAGTTTTGTTTCTCCCTGCTTGAAGTTTTAGTTTGCACTGAAGACAAACGATTTGGATTTTTCAGACATGAATAATTTTCTGCACAAAACATAAAACCACGTTTAAGCAAAAGTGCGGCAACTTAAAGAACGTCAGGTACACCTTAGCACCGGCACTTAGGTCGATGCAGCGGAACTGGTGAGTCAGAGAAGCAGCCTGCTGGGTGTAGAGGACCCAGCGCACTAGGAGCCGGGAGGCAAAGACCGGACGGTACCAGCGCAGACCGTCTCAGTAGGCCGCCCCCTACGCCCCTAGACCTGTAGGCCGGTTCAGAGCCCGCGGGCCAGTTGCCGTGGCAACGCACCGGTTCCCGCAGCCGCCCCGACATCCCCGCGCGTCCCGTTCCTCACCACTGCTCCGCTCTATCTCTCCACGTCAACACGGCCCTCATCGCCGCTTCCCTCACGCCTCGGGCCCCTCCTCCCCGCCTCGGCCGCCACAGGCTCCACTCCGCCAGCCACAGTAGCTACCTGCGCTACCCGTGGCAACCCACATGCGCAGTGAGGGGAGCCCGTACGCGAGTCTTCAAGTGCGCATGTCTGTAAGGACAGCGCGCTCAGCCAACGCGCTGAGCGCTCCAGGATCAGGGGCGGAGCGCAACTAGGGTGCGTGTGATTGGTCAGAAAAGGTGGGTGGGTGGGGCATCTCCCACTAAGGACTTGATTGGCGGAGCACTGGACGCGGCGGTGGCGGAGGGAAAGCGGCTTGGAGCCCAGGCTTTTCCTCCCCCGAGGCTTTGACTTCGGTGGAGTATTGTGAGATGTGGTCACGTTTCACTCCGCCTCCGGGCCTGGGGCTGCAGCTGCACCGCGGGCGACGGGCATAGCTGAGATGGAGAGTCCAAATCTTGGGGATGGCGGCGCGGAGACCCTCATTCCAGACTCGCCGTGGGATCTCCGGCAAGTTATCTTCTCCCAGACCTCAGTTTCACTATTTGCACAATGGGAGCAGGGGAGTCAACTTGTGTAGGAGCTATCTATGTAGGATCTGTGTAACCTTCAACAGGAAGTGACAGACGCCTGAAGGCCCGCCGATATAGTTATGGGGAACTAGGGCTGCAGCTGTCGCCCCTGTGGGGACAGCCCTGGATGTACCCGATTTTTTGTTCGAATTGACTGGGGAGCTTGGAAGACGAGGGAAGTTTTGGGATGCAAACAGGTCGGGTTGTGATTGGAAGTACCTAGGAAGAACTGAAGGAAATGGCACGTTCACCACCCCAGGGCGCCCCAGAAACGGGTCCTGTGAAAAGTAAAAGATGAAGCTTTTGTTATTTGTTGTACACCACGTAGGAGACAGGGCTAAAATAATTTACCTGTTGGCGTTTTTCAAAAATTGAACGCCCGAACAATTTTAAGGTCTGGAGGAAACCCAGCACTTTATAAACCAGGCTTCCTGAAGCAAGCCTGTGAAGGCAGGAGGATCAGCAGTTGGTCATCTTCGGAGTACATCGTGGGTTCAAGGCCAGCCTGGGATGCATAAGACTCTTATCTCAAAAAAAAAAAAAGCTTTTAGCCGGGCGTGGTAGCACGCCTTTAGTCCCAGAGGCGGGCGGGCAGATCTCTGCGAGATGGAGGCCAGCCTGGTCTACATTAGCAAGTTCCAGACCAGTTGGGGCTATAGGGAGACCCGGTTTCAAAACAAACAAATTCTATTTTTAAATAGTAATGGTAATTTATTAAAAAGTTACTACTTCCTTTTTACAGATGAAGAAAGGAGACTTTAAGAGCCTCAGTAACTTTTTCTTGGATGCTCAACTAATTAATGTCAGAGCTGACATTGAGCAGTCTGTTAAGAGTTCACCAGGTTTCAATTTTCTCTGTATCATTTCTGTAAAATCCTTCAAACTAGTATTTAATCCAAAATTGCATCAGAATACCATGATTCTAACTGTAGTCAGTCACTAGTTCTTGCTTAATTCCTCTATTTGTAGAATGCAGATTGAGTTAGATTGTCTCTCTAGACTCGTGTATGATTTAACTCCCAATAATAGTGTGGAGGGATGTGTCAGACCATGATCTGGTAGATCTGGGCTCTGGTATCAGTTCTGCAAGTAATTTAACTTTGTTCTCATACAACTTTGTAAGAATAAATTTTAACTTCACCAAGTTATGAGAACCAAGAATGAAGGAGATCTAGAAGTTCTTATCAGAAATTATATACCTTCAGCCAGTGAGAAGGCTTAACAGGTAGAGGTGCCTGCTGTCAAGCCCAAGAATCTGAATTCAATCCCTGGGACCCAGATGGTGGAAGGAGAGAACCAACTCCCTGGCACATATATGTAATTTTCAGGTCACTTATATGCAGAGGAGAAGGCTAATTGCTTTAAACAGTTTTGTTGATCTCAAGTAAAGAGCTTAGCTGTTGGTTCATATTCTCAAATTTATGCCACTGTTACCAAAAATCTTTATAATAGCCCCCAAAATAATCCAAAATTTCAGCAAGTAGCTTCAACTATTCACTGTGTAGAGATTTAAACCTGTGTCAGAAGACAAAAAAAGTTATCAAAAGTAGGAAGATACTGTCATAGCACAAGACTGGTTCATACTGACTTTGATCTTACCTGTTGTATTCTGAATATTTCATGTAGTTCATGAAATTGAGTCATCGAAGGAAAAGAAATTTTAAATGAGTTCATCTCTTGGGCTTTGTTTTTCTAGCAATGAAGATGCTGCTTTTGGACTGGGAAGAGGAGAAGATGAAAACGAATCAAGAGTGCTAAAAAGAAGCAGTGAGTGTAGCCCCCTTCTCCAAGAACCTGTTGTTTCTGCTCAGTTTGATGGTGCTGCAGTGACAGAATGCCATAAGCCTGTCCCATGTGGATGGGAAAGAGCTGTGAAGCAAAGGTTGTCTGGGAAAACTGCAGGAAGATTTGATGTGTACTTTATCAGGTAAGCATGCAAGATGGGAAATAAAGATAACAGCTAAGGAATTTTGTTCAGACAGGTAATGGGAAAGCAGAGAAAGAACCAGCTTATGGGCTGGGGTGATGGTTCAGTAGATAAGGCACTTACGGTGTAAGTGTGAGGATCAGAGCGGGTAGGACCGTAAGCTGCCTCTGATCCCAGGCCTCGGGGGCAAAGATGGGATCCCCTGGGCAAACTGGCTAGCTAGACCAGCCAGAATTGGTGAGTTATGTGTTCAGTGAGAGATACTACCTCAGTAAACAGAGAATCATTGAGGAAGACACCCAGTTTCAATGTCAGGCCTCCACATGTGCCCGCACACAGACACACACACACAAACACACTCATATGCCTTTGCACCTGCATACACCCATGCCCACACAAACATGCACACATCATGCACATACACATTTAACAAAAGCTTAGCTTATTGTTATAAAACCATTGTGGGCTGTTCCTTCATTGTCACTGGGTAGCTATAGGAAGTGACTTGGGAACAATTACATGAATTTTGTTACTCTGACTCTGAGTGGTTTACAATGCATTTTCACTTGTTATATTTGTATGCTGATTTATTTTATGTGTATGAGTATTGTCTCCATGTATGTAAGTGCACCATGTGTGCAATGCCATGGAGGCCAGAAGAGGGCATCAGATCCCCTGGAACTGAAGTTACCTAACATTTGTTAGCTGTCATATGGGTGCTGGGAACTGAACATGGGACCTCTGCAAGAGCAGCCAGTACTCTTCACCTCTGAGCCATCTCTCCAGGCCCCTGTACATTCATTTTACATAGTTGTAGAGGAATCTATTTAAAAGGGCCATTTATCACTTTTTTAAAACTTTCAAATGATAAACCTCTCTAGCAACGTTTAGAAATTACTAATTAGAAACCTGAACTATGGTCTAAATCTTTCTAAAAGTCGACCCTATTTACCAGCAGTAATTTTCCTTTAATTTCATTTTTTTAGCCCACAAGGACTGAAATTCAGATCCAAATGTTCACTTATTAATTATCTTCTCAAAAATGGAGAGACTTCTTTTAAGCCAGAAGATTTTGATTTTACTGTACCAACTAAAGGGGGCATCAAATCAGAACATAAAGACAGCAGCCTGGCAGTTCCAACTTCCATACTGCCAAGTGAAAGTGCCATTTCAAACCAGAACCTTAGGACACGACACAGGTGGAAAACACATGTGTTGCCCCTGCCAGGTGGCAATTCAGAGTTGCAGGATAGCAGGCCATCTAGCTCTAACTCTGTTCATCTGCTGCTGACAGAAGATGAGGACATACATCATGGTAGCCCCAGGAAGATTAGAAAATCAGAAAGAAAAGTGACTGTTTGGAAAGGAATTCAAAGTAGGAAAACCAAACAGAGGTGCAGGCAGAGTCCTTCAGATTCTGCTCAAAATGACAGAAAAAGAGAATCTGTGTTTCATAAAGCAGAGGCTGAAAGTGACCCCATTCCACAAGAAACTCAGCTCAATAGAACTCTCTGCATTTCCAATGCCCGAGCAATCGACAAGACTGTCAGTGAGGCCAGTGGAGAAAAGGGCCCTGTGAAAGAAAAATCACTGAGGTCAGAATCAAATCTCCTTTCTGAACAAGTAACTTCTGACATCACAAACAAATCATGTTCAACTGAAGAAGCAGGTGATGTGAAGCATGAGGCTCCCTTTTTAGAATCAGAGGAAGTCATAGCAGAGGTAGAAGATGGGAAAAGGAAGAAGCATTTGCATATTGAAGATTTAAAATGTGGCTCTGAAATGCCCAGCTGCTCACAAGCTGAGAAGCACTTTGCTTCTGAGACAACGGTTCAAGGTATTCACTGCATAAAATCCAGAATCTTGTGTTTCATGCCTGCACATGGTTGAGATTTGGAGTATAGTGAAGGAAGAAGTCTGTGTGCCAGATACACTCTCCCAGTTGGTCCCAATATCTTGCCTAAGTGAGTTTTGGGAATAGGGTCTCACATATCACATGCTGGCCTCAATCTCACTATGTAGCTGAGGATAACTTTGAACTTGTGATCCTCCTGCCTCTGCCTTCTGAGTGCTTGGATTACAGGTGTGTGCCACTGTGCCTAATTTTTTACACAGTGGTAGTGATTGAACCCAGGGCCTTATGCATGATAAGCATTCTATCAACTGAGCCACATACTCTGCCCCTAACTGATCTTTGAGCTAACTGGTCATCAGGCCCTTTCTTATGGCAAAGAGGGAATCAGTTGGCTACAGGAAAGATGCCCAGCAAAAGAGGACAGTGGCTTGTCGTGGCTACACCATCTCTCCCTGAGCATCAGCTAGGACTCAGTGCAGCTTTCCCCTCTTCCCATCCTCTTTCCAGACAGCAGTCTTAAGACTTTAAGGAAAATTAGAGGCTTTCACTAGTGAATAATTTAGATAAGACTCCTTGTATACAGAAACTGACCGAGCAGTCTGTCTTGACACCCCTCCTGTTACTTACTACTGAAGTATGATTTTTAATTTAATTTCATATATATCATGGTCATTTTTATCTTCTATTATAATGTAATGCTTCTCTAAAAGGCCTGAGAGCTCTAAATAATTCAAAAGTGTAATCATGTAGTTCATGTATTATTTGTAATATGCTCTTAATACCGAGGTCAGGGCTTAGCAATTTTGCCTTTATAATACTGTGGTGAATAATAGATAAAAAGGAGATCTTCTAGCAGCTCTGTGCTAGTTATTCATTATGCCATTATGGTATAATGAATAACTCCCTTAAAGAAGAATAGTAGTATTTTACTTGGAATCCTTTGGGGCAGCAGCCTGGACAAATTGGTAGAACCAGGGTAAGACCTGGTTTCTGTTTTCAGGCCCACTGATAATTATACATCTTCTCTGTGCCTGGAATTTCTGTATCCTTTATAGGAGATGGCCACACATACCTAGGAAATGGATAAGAATTCCTCAAGTCTGTTCTTTAAAGACTTCTTAAAGAAGCACTTGGTTGTATAGATTTATTGCTACAATATTGGGCAAGTTAAATATTTAAAACATCCTTTCTTGACTAAGGTGGAAGTATTCAACTCATCCTAGAGTGAAAAAAGTCCAGTTCTAGTATGGAGTGGTCATAAAATGAAAAAAGCAAGATTCTACCTATGATCCCAATATGATAAAAATGGATACACATATATAGGCATACACGTAAGTCATCCAACATAAGTCATAGAGCAGTAGAAAAGGGCATGGGCTCTTGAGCTAGACTGGCTTTGGATTTTAGCTCTGGCATTAGCTATGACCTTGGGCAACTTATTTAGCTTCTCTGTGCCTTAGTTTCTTTAGCTATGAAATGGAGATAAAATAATGCCTAGATGATAGAGTACTGGAATTAGAGTGATTTATATGCTTGTACTATGTAGCCCAGGCTAGCCTTAACTCTGTCCTCCTGCCTCAGTCTCCCAAGTGTTGGGATTACTGGCACACACAATAAACTATAGATTCTGTAAACTGTTGGTTCTTCTCTGCAGAAGACACCATCCCACGAACACAAGTAGAAAGAAGGAAAACAAGTCTGTATTTTTCCAGCAAGTACAACAAAGAAGGTAACCCTTTCCCAATCAGTCATGGGATTTTAAGAGTCTTTCACGAATGTAGCTCTGATTTGGTGTGTTTGTTTAGCGCTTAGTCCCCCAAGACGCAAAGCCTTTAAGAAGTGGACACCTCCTCGGTCACCTTTTAATCTTGTCCAGGAAACGCTTTTTCATGATCCATGGAAGCTTCTCATCGCGACTATATTTCTCAATCGGACCTCAGGTTTGTGGGTTATTTTCATCTGTGTCTTAGAGACTGGTGAGGAGAAAGAGAAACACACTGATTAAGAGACCCAGGTTCAAGTCCATTTGAGTTTTTGTTGTTGGGTGAGACTTTTCCCTGTCAGCCCTCAGAGCTCTTGACCCATGAGGAAGTTAGACTGGATGACATCCAACAATGCCCTCTCTAGCACTGAGGGCCAGTTGCCATTGATTTCCTGCTTCAAGAGCAGTTGTGGTCATTGATGAAGATCACTTCTTTTTCATTGAATACACATTGTATTCTGTATCTTCCCACAGTAATTACCTTGTCATCTTAACTATTTAAAAACTCAGCCAGTTTCAATATAATTTGGACTACTAGCCAAATAGATTAACAGTGTTTATTTGGCTCTGGAAGTGGTTGCAGTTCAGATACTGACTTGTCAGTGGTTAAACAAGCAGGGCTGGGGGTGTAGTAGTAGAGCACTTGCCTAGCATATATGGTACCCTAAATCTCATCCCCAGTACCATAGATAACAAAAATCTCCATGAGATTTCTCGATGAGAAACTACCTGAACTTGAAGTCAGCCTTTCCCAAGGCTTACAGCATGCAGTTTTTTATACAGGCAAGATGGCAATCCCTGTGCTCTGGGAGTTCCTAGAGAAGTACCCTTCAGCTGAGATAGCACGAACTGCAGACTGGAGAGATGTATCAGAACTTCTTAAACCTCTTGGTCTCTACGATCTCCGTGCGAAAACCATTATCAAGTTCTCAGGTATGTCCCCTAGACACAAAGGCAGAAGCAAATTGTGCCACTGGATAGAGCCACAGCTCAAACTTTAATGCCCTCAAGTGCTACCTTAATAGAGGTTATTTAACTTAAGCACCAAAAACATGAATAAACAGTCCACTTGCCCCAAGCCATAGATACCAGCAGATCCAGACTATAAGTCTTTGCCCGGCACTGAGTCAGGCCACGTGGACAGGAGTAAGAAGGAAGCCATTTCCACCATCTAGTTATTGAAGCACAAAATACCAGCTGGGAGGAGGCAGGTGATGAAGGGAGAGTGGTCACAGCAGGGTTGCTTCAGAAGTCTTCCTGTCCTGTCATCACAAGTTTAGGGAAGGTGCCTTCCCCCAGGCTGACCACATATGTGGGATATTATGTTCTGCAGATGAGTATCTAACAAAGCAGTGGCGGTATCCAATTGAGCTTCATGGGATTGGTAAATATGGCAATGACTCTTACCGGATCTTTTGCGTCAATGAGTGGAAGCAGGTAAGGCCCACCACCAACCACCACACACAGCCCTAAAACTATGTATTGGACACAAGTCCTGTTGTAGTCCCAGCCAGTTTTGCCCTCAGTGCAAAGAGCAGTGGAGATGTGAGGTTATGAATAGTAGGAAAGAATCCTCAGACACTCCCCACATCCTTTTGGTGTGGCCTCTGACAGCCCTCCAGAAGTTTGTCACTTCTCACCTTATTTTTCTTTCCCCATCTATATTCTGTCTCTAAGCCTAATGGGGTTTTCTTCCTGCTAAAAGGAGCCTTCTGGGGCTGGAGAGATGGCTCAGTGGTTAAAGGCACTGGCTGCTCTAGCAGAGGACCTGTGTTCAGATCCCAGCACCTACAGGGTAGTTAACAACTGTCTGTAACTTCAGTTCCAGGGGATCTGACACCCTCCACTGGCCTCAGAGCAGTGCCAGGGCACACTTAAATACATGCAGGCAAAACACTTATACTCCAAAAATAAAAATAAGTAAATCTAAAAAAATTTTTAACCAGATAATAGTGAGGCTTGCGTTTAACTCCAGCACACAGGAGACAGAGGCAGGCAAATCTCTATGAGATTGAGGCCAGCCTACACTACATAGGGAATTCTCGGCCACCTTGGGCTACCAGAATGCCTGTCTCAAAAAACAACAAAAAGAGCCTCCTAGTTATAAGCAGATGGCTCAGTTGATAAAGAGCTTGCCCTGAGGACCTGAATTCAGATTCCCAGAATTCACAAGAAAAGCAGGGCATGACATGAACCTGTAATCCCAGTGCTGGGGAGGCAGAAACAGGAGAATCCCTGAAAGCTCTGTATAGCCTGGCCTAAGCCCCTAGACCAGATAGCCTGGCCAGTGTGGCAGAGCTCCAGGCCAATGAAAGACCCTATCTCGTGGAAAAAGTGGAAGGGGAGATGACTCAGCAGGTAAAGGTACTTGCTGCACAAGCTTAGAGCCCTGAGTGATCTCTGGAGTGGACATGAAGGTGGAAAGAGAGAACACTTTTAAAAGCTCATCCTCTAACCTTCACAGCTATGCTGTGGCACACAAGTGTATGCACGTGCGCACACACACACACAAATAATAAAATCTTAAATTTTTCTTTATAAAAAGGCCTCCTGGGCCAGGTGTGGTGGTGCATGCCTTTAATCCCAGCACTCGGGAGGCAGAGGCAGGCAGATCTCTGTGAGTTCAAGGCCAGCCTGGTCTACATAGTGAGTTCCAGGGCAGCTGGGGCTACAAAGAGACCCTGTCTCAAAAAGACCAAAAAAAAAAAGGCCTTCTAGTGCTTCCCACAAGCTGTATTTATACTGATTGTATAGAAAGAGGTGGCAGAGTAAACCTACCCTGTGTATACCTCAGTCCAAGCCACTGTGTCATAACTGGTCGGAAAAGTAAATGGGGAAACAGAACATTTTAAAATTAATAATTAAAAATGTATAAAATAATTTTTTTAAAAGGTAGAAGGTTCCTACACATGCTCAGGAATGCACATACACAAACACAAAACAAAAATGAGTGACGAAAAAAGAGTGTGTTGTCGCCCCTCACTCTGGGAAAGCAGATGGATTGGACTGAGACTATTTGCCTGTTGTGTTTCTCCTCGCTTCTCAGACCTGAATATAGTATAAGGGTCCAATGCAGCTCATTCTGTTAATTCTGCTCAGCACTGGTACATTCTGAAGGCAGCCTGGCAGCTGGGGGTGTCCTGGCACACTGCACTCATTAAGTATTAATCCATTGGGGTCTGATGAAGCTGAGTCTGAAGAGGCACAGTCCTACCACTATTCCACCAGAGCAGAGCCATCCATTTAGCCTCACAGGGTCTAAAACTTCCCTCCAGAAGATAGGTGTCAGTACCTCTCCACCTTCTGCTCCAGGTCTGGGTTGCTTCTGAATTGGAAGGACTTTGTAAACACAGGATTCCTAAAATGTGAGGTCTAATTTTAAACATGAATGCTTCTAGGTTAAGGTTATTTTATATTTCAGTGATACTATCATAATAAACTTCCTCATTAAACATTTAAAAGCCTTTTTTGTTTTTGTTTTGAGACATTTTGGGGTGGTCTCCCTATAGCCCCAGCTGACCTGGAGCTCACTATGTAGACCAGGCTGGCCTTGATCTCAC